CCCCACCCCTTATTTTTTGAGATAGGTTCTCACTAGGTTGCTGAGGCTGGCCTTGAACTGGCAATCCTCCTGCCTCTGCCTCCGGAGTTGCTGGGGTGAAGATGTGCAACACAGCACTTGGCTTTTCTTGATTTCGTTAGCTTTGTGGTAAGTTTTAAAATGGAGGAGTTGGTCACCTTTGTTACTATTTGGGGGTGGTGCTGGGGATTAACTCAGGGGCACTTGACCACTGAGCCACATCCCCAGCCCTGTTCTGAGGCAGAATATCATTGAATTGCTTAGCGCCCCACTGTTGCTGAGGCTGGCTTTGAACTCGCAATCCTCCTGCCTCAGCCTCCCAAGCCGCTGGGATTATAGGCGTGCGCCACCTTTATTACTTTTCAACAGTGTGTAGGTCACTCTGGATTCCCCGACTTACAGATCAATTTGAGGATCAGCTTGTGAATCTGGGCAAAGAAGCCAGACATGAGCTCAATGAAGACTACACTGACTTGGTAGATCAACTTGGGGAACACCGTCATCTAAACCCCGTGTCGACCCACATATAGGGAACGTCGTTTCATTTACTTAGGCCTTCTTTTTTCCAATGTGCTGACAGTTCTCAGGGTTTAAGTTCTCCTCTTCTGTTGAACCCACCCCCGCCCCTGGGGGCACTCCACCCCAGCCCCATCCAGCCCTTTCTAGTTTTCCTTCTTAATTCCTTTGGTTGAAGGTGGACAGTACCTTCACTTATTTCCTTTATGTGGTGCTGAAGGTCAAGCGCTCCACCACTGGGCCTCGACCGCAGCCCCAGCCCTTCTAGCTTCGTTCCGACTGTCCATTGCCGAGTGTATGGAAATGCACTCGGTGTCTGCAGTGGCTGCCGTCCTCCTGCTCATTTGTAAACCTTTGCCTAATGCAGTGGGCAGGCATTTTTGAAGTCACCCTGGCCAATAGGCTAGAAGGGCAAGACTGGGGTCAAGCCACCTGCTGGCTTGGTCAGTAGCAGTGGGGAGAGAGAAGTGGGTGGACTGGACCCGCAGGACTGGGGTGGGGGTGGGGAAAGGGCCCATCAAGGACAGGGCCTGGTGTTTGGCCCGGATCCTATTTACCAGGACTGGAGAGGGTTTGAACATTAATGTGCCTTTAAAGCAGCCCAGGGGGCAGCTGAATAAGCCCCAGGGGACTCACAACAGCGCTAAGACCACCACTGGTGTTGGAGAAGGGGACGGGAGTCTCCTAGGGTGAGGGTCCCAGGAACCCACATTGCTGGGAAGGACACAGGACACAGGGGAGAGGACGACATCAGGGAGTCTGTCTCCTCTCCTCCCTCCACAGTCCCTGGCTGGTGTGTCTGCGCCGTCGATGGCCGTGTGACGGACAGCTCAGCAGACCCGAGGGGGCAGAGAGGATGTTCTGAGGGGCCACCCACCTCAGAGGGGTCCTGCTGGAGGAGGTCCAGCCTGAGGGACAGGCACGTAGGGTGCTCATTAGATGAGTGCTCTCTGTGCCAGGTGGCTCTGCCCAGGACATGAGCAAGAACGAAGCTCTGGTCAGACGCACAGGGCGAGTCCTCCAACACGGAGCCCAGGGGAGGCACTGGGCCCTGTGGCTCCGAGTGGGCCTTCAGGCCGCCTGCAGGGCAGCATGTCCAGCTGGGAACTCCAGGTGGCGGGGGGCAGAGCAAGGGCTCTCACTTAGGCTTGGGGGAGTGGACGGCCAGGCCCTGCCAAGCTCCCCACTGCCACCTCCCACCCAGCCACCTGCAACCCCCCAGGCAGGTGGAGCTGCTGCTGGGGTCAGTGGGAGCTCTAGGCGAGGCGAGTGCTTTCGGGTGCACGTTAATCCCTGGGCCAGCTGAAGAGGGGCGCTAGATTTAAGGGACCCAGTGAGCAATGCTGTCCAAGTGTGGCCCTTGTCAGCATCGCCAGGAGCAGGTTAGCAATGCAGACTCCTCCCAGGAGCCTGGAGCCAGAACCTGGGGTCCACATGCTTGCTGAGGTTGGAGAACCCCGGGATCTGACACCCAGCCTGCTCCTCAGGCTTCTGTTCAGACTCCTTTGGGAATCCAAGGCCACTGGGGGTCAGGGGCAGGAGCTGTGGCTGAGAGGCCACTCTTGGTAGTGTGCTGGCCAACTGACACGCACCCTAAGGTCCTTTCCATCTGGATTTCTAAGGTAGTGTGAACTAAGGAACGTCCTAACACTGCCACAAATACAGCAGCAGCAGCCAACAGCCCTGTCCCAGGCCTGACCGCCAGGCACTGGACACTCTCCAGTCCTATGAGGCCCAGGTTCTCAGCTTGATCTGACACCTGTTGGCTGGGGGGTGGCGGGCGGCAGCAGAACCTTCTTCCGGCTCTGGATTCTGTAGTTTTCTAGGCAGAGCTTTGGATGGATGAATCACAAAATCAATATGCTTCGTGAAAGAAGCCAGAACTAAGGAGGCTGCGCTTGCGACTCTTTGCCGGGAAGCTCGCGACAGGCACGCTCACCGCGGTGCAAGCATCAGAGCAGGCGCGGCGGCTCTGGCTGGAGGGCGCCTGGGAACCTCATGGACTGGTGTGAATGTTCCAGAGAGGCTGGGCTGCTGCACACAGTTGTCAACTCAAACTGTTTCTTTAAAAATGAATTTCACTGCATGAAAAACCATCCCTCAATTTAAAACATCTACTCCAGGGGAGATAAGGCGTTGGCACTGAATGGCTTTCACAAATGCTCCCTCTAAAGTCCCGGGCTTCCTGATCCTGATGGGGGACAACTGGCAGAGCTCCTTGGTGACTGGTGCCAGGAGGAGGCACAGTTCAGTCTGCATTGCCTCGAGTCTCCACTGCCACCTCCCCGCAAGTGGCAGCGGTGCCCAGTCCCAATTCAGAAGGCACCAGGACCCCACGTGGGCAGGACCCAGGCCGAGTCTGGTCTGAGAGCTCTCTGAGCAGGCGGGGCAGGTGGGAAGCAGCTCTACTCTAATGAACAAAATCACAAAAGAAAAGTGATGCGAGGGAGGTGGAGAGAGGGCATCCAGGAGCCAGGCTCCCTCAGGTACAAACACCCACTTCCGGCATAGGATCTTTATTGGACATGGTTGCATCACAGCGAGAGATGTCCTCCACAATCGCCTGACCTCACCCCACCCCTGCAACAAGCGCACATGGAGGCTCTTCATTGACATTAGCGCTAGAAAAGTCCAGAACACTCCTCCATCCACTGATCCAGAAAGCACACAGCGTTTACAGACCCGCAAGCCCTTTATCAAATGAAATGTGGTTCTGGATTAGCAGTTTGTGTTAGCACGTTAGCCACTGTGCCCAGCTTCTTTTGAGGTCATGTGACTAGGCGAACGCCATGCACGACCTGCAGAAGCTCCTTAAGGGGCCGAGACCCTCTGTGGACAGGGTTTCCGCTCTGGGAGAGCAGCAGCGCCCTAGCTGCTCAGCAGGCCCGCCCCGCCTCCCCCACGCAGCCTCAACCAGGCCTCCAGGTACCTCCCCGTCTCTCCCTCCTTTCCTGGATCATCCAGACTCGCTCCTGTCAGGACCCCACCTGGTCACCCATGCAATGCAATCACGTCCTTGCTCCCTGGCTTGTCCCCTCCCAGAGTATTCTTCACACAGGACCTCAGGGGGTGTGCCTGTCCTTCCCTGGGCAGTGAGCCATCTAAAAGCAGGATCTACTTCTCAAGCACACCCCTAGAGGGGGGCACACATGCATCACCAGGCCACAGAAGTGGCCCCAGGGGAGTGGAGCCAGGGCAGTTTGCCAACCAATAACCACGTTCCAGGTGGTGACAAGTGTCAGCATCGACTCAGGTGGCTGTCTTCAGGACTCCCTGCCAGAACACCCCAGGGAAAACCAGAGTAAAGAGCAAATCTTTCAGAACAGTTAATATGTTCTAAACAAATGTCTTGTTGGTAAATTGAGAGCTATAAGTCAAAGTCCTGAATCCTAAAAGGACAAGAAAAGCAGCTGACCTGCTGTGAGACGGGGACGGGGGCAAGCTGGGCGAGGCGTGGGGCTCAGGAGCAGGGCTAGAGCAGCCGCTGGGCAGCAGCCTGGCCATGTGACTCACTGGCGGTTCTCCTGGGTGAACAGAGCTGGGCCTGAGACCTCACCAGGTTCTCCAAGGCTCTAAAAAGCCTCCCTTGAACAAAGAGCTTCAGGGTGGGGGAGATGGCCAGACAGCCATTTGCAACGGTCATCTTTTGACTGGGGACTGAACCCAGGGGCGCTTTCTTACTGAGCCACATTCCCAGCCCTTCTTTTTTATTTTGAGGCAGGTTCTCACTGAATTACTGAAGGCCTAAATTGCTGAGGCTGCCTCCTGCCTCAGCCTCCAGAGCTGCTGGGATTACAGGCGTGGCCACTGCACCCAGCTCAACAGTCATCTTCCACACTGCCTGCAGGGATGGGCTCGTGGGGAAGACCGTCACACATGGTCCAGGCTATGATGTACAGTGTAACCTTCTCCATAAAATTCTCCTTAGCTTGGGAAACACACTCTGCACAGAGCAGCTTGGAGAAAATGCTGCAATGCACCAAGGCCCTCACAGTCCTCCCAGCGCGCCCGCCCGCGGGGAGCCAGCAGGCACAGCAGAGGGGCGAGGAGGAGGCAGGCTGCAGAGCAGAGATCCTGATGAGATCATCATGCGGGAGTGGTGATCTTGCCACAGCAGTCTGGGTGTGTGTGTGGGGGGGCGGGGCACAGAGGCCGCGTTGCCTTGGCTGGCTGGACATGTGGTAGAGAGAAAGAATCTAGGTGGTTTTACTCTAAAGTGGGTTCTTGGAGAAAAAAGGACAAAGAAAAGCCACCGACTCAGGCCACGGGTCTGCTAAAGCATCTTTCAGACTGGAGCAAACTGCTCATTACAGGAGAGTGAGCTGCCAGTTTGCCAGAGTCATGCTGAATATCACCAAATGCAGTGCCACTCAAATTTTAAAGCACCGAGGGATCAAGAAATAGGATGATCGGATCCTTGGCCAGGATTAAGAGATCAATGATTGCTGTTGTTGTCGTCCAAGAAATAAATTTCTAGCAAAATACACACTTTATTAAATTTCGCAGCCAGCAGCACTTCTAGCCCACAGCAGATTCTCAGAGGAATCATGGACATTTTGCGTAGGCAGAAGCAGGGCGGGGGAGCGTCAGGCAGAGCTATAAATACCTACGGCTCTGCCATGGGCACCCCATCTTCTCTGCCCAGTGCCTGAATACTGCAAGGGCTTCCTGTGCAAACACTACGGTGAGCCTGGTGGGCCAGGAAGGTCAGGCTGCAGGAGGTGGCTTGTCAGCGGGGGCAACTCCCCAGCTTTGGATCCTGATCAGTCCTCTTTGTTCAAGGGCAGAGATGGACCCTGGGGCCTGCTATTAAGTGGTGGAGAAAGAGACAGTGAATTACAGACCGAGATGGAGAGCGTCGATGGTGTTTCCGGTCTGGGCCGAGCCTGCTTTGCCAGTCCTGGGCTGGGGGTTGGTTCTTCATCGCCAGACTGACTTCAAGCCTTCAGTGGCTATCCAGAACATGGGCAGGAAACCACCCATGGCCACCTGCACCTGGGACCCACCTGGTGTCATGTGCACAGGTTTGCTCCAGGAGGGTCAGCCTGCCAGACCGCAGCAGCTCAGTCTGACCCCGAGACTCGGGTCCACAAGCCCTCCCTCTGCCACCCCACTTGATTCCTGGCCTTAAAAAGCCAGAGGACGGCAGCACCAGACCCTCCTAGCGGAGAGGTCTCGCCACACCTTCTGTTCCTGCGAAGGCGGCTGGGCCTCATTCACATCTGCTGCTGGGGGAACGGCAGATGTGTCCCCCGGGAGAGGTACAGACGGGAGTTTCAGCGGTCACAGAAGGAGACACATGCCTGCAGCGCTGGTATCATGTTTATGCACAGGGAAACCAAGTGATGAACTACTCCCTTCCTCCCTCCAACTCCGCTCCCGGCCCACAGCCCCAATTAACTTGGGGAGAAAGAGGAAAAAGGAAAGGTCCCCAAGTAAATCCTCACGGCCTGTTTTTCCTTCTCTTGAGGACAGGAAGATACTCACACTCCCCTACACACCTGCCTGAGGGAGCAGTGCCACTGCTGGGCAAAGGCCTGTGCCTCCTCGGCAACAGCCAGTGGGCCGGAGGGTGTGGACGGCTAAGGAAAGTGCGCAGGAAGGTTGCTGCTTCCCCGGAGCCCAAGTGGCAGGGACAGAGAGGATCACCATTTTCTGAGCACTTTTCAGGCTCCCAAAACTAACAGTGAGGGAGCCACAGGCCCCATGGTTCCTGACTGGCCCTTCCGAGCCAGGAAGACCTGTCCCTTGCAGGCAGCTCTCCCACAAGTCGAGGCAGGGTCTGGCTGGAGCTTCTGGAAGTGACCCTACCCAGCTAGGCCACCAAGCATCACAAAGCTTTCCTGATGGGGCGTATTTGGTCACTGTGAAGCCCTCCATCACAAGGGACCGCCTGAGTGTGTCCCACCATTTGAAGGACTCCTCTCCAGTCACTCTACTCCTCCCGAGAGCCACCAGGGCTCCTCCCACACCCTGCAGCTTGGAGAGACTCTCTGAGCAGGGAGGGACCCTGCCACCTGCGGCTGGTCAGCTGATGCGCTGCCTCCACCGAGGCTCCTGGAGCCCGGGGTGACTGTGCTGAACCACCTGGAAGCCCTGCTGGCCCACAGCGAGGCTGTAACAAGGAGGACGTGCCACGAGGCACTCGCTGAAATGCACAATTTCTGCCCCAGCTGTTCTTAAGGAAAATTTGTCCCTGTTTTCTTCTAAATTCTGATCATATTTTAAAAATAAAAAAAAGTAAAGCCTCAAGAGGGGAAGAAGACAGGAGGGCTGTTGCTCTGCGCAGGAGGGGCCCCAGGGAGACCCGGGGACACTTCTGAGCTTAAAGACAGTTCCATCCTGCCCTCAGGAAGCCCATGTCCCTCCAGCGGGGTTGTGTCCTGGGGCTGGGACCCTGACAGTGACAGAATGGCACACAGGCAACAGGCCTCCTGTGCCCTCAGTGCCGGTCACTGCCAGGGTCTGGAGCAGAGGTCAAGGCGCCATTTGGGCTAGGACCTGGGCAGCTGCTGGGCACCAGTGGGGCTTGGCCTCACCTCCTAGGATGGTTCCGATGCATTCTCACCTCCCAAAGATGTAAGGACACCCTCCCGGTCCCTTTTGGACATCTTTGGAGACCTGTGGCCATTCCCCAGAGCAGCATGGAGTGCTGTGAAGGCAGCAGACAGCCGCAGAGGCCAGCCACTGCAGCGCTCAGGGCCACCACTGTGTGGGCCTGTGGGCCCATTAGGAATGTTTCAGTGACAGGCAGGCTCCTCTCCTCCTCCTCACTCCGACCTCCCTCCCCCCTGAGGACAGTCCCAGCTGCCTGGCACCAGCTGCAGATCCAGTTTCCCTCAAAGAGTACAAAGTAGGTGTCCATGGCACTTCACCCTGCCCCAAGCTCTGCGGTGTCGCTGTCGGAGGCCGGCGGTGGACTGTCGGAACTGCTCTTGCTCACCAAGAGGACTACGGGGTAAGCTGCAGTGTTCTCTGACAGCGCCATCCTCCCGGTTGGCGCTCACGCGGTGCCTTCCCAGTCACCTGGGGGCTCTGCAGCGCCGTTGGTCACCTTCTTGACTTTCTTCATGTTTTCCATCACCCCTGATGTCGTCACTCTGAGAAAGGGAGAGAACAGAAACAATGAGGGCCCTCTTGCAGGCGATCACGAAGCACCCACCACCCTAGCACATGGCTGGGGCTCAGGACTGGACAGAACTGGAGGCCTCCTGCCCTCCCTGTGAACTGTACAGTCACTTGACCTCTGAGCTGAAGTGCAGCAAATAATTCTCACTTTTCAGAACAGTCATGAGAAAAAAATTCTCTTTATCAATAAATATCAACTGTAATTATCACAACCATCATCGCTGCTCTTCATCGCTGACGTTGCAGCCTCCACAGCTTTTACCGTGCACAGATGACAATCACGGTTAGGAGACCAATACCTGTCATAATTAACACTCGGAAAGGAAAGCTTGCGAGCTGTGCGGATTGTAATGACTAGCCATGCTGGGTCATTTCTCAGTGACGGGACAGAATCACAGATTAGGAGGAAACTTCTGGGCTCAAAGGTTCTTTGCCCACTGGAGACAGTGAAGCTCTCTTGGCAAACCCAGGCCCTGTCTCAGCAGGCTGAGGTCAGCCGTGCTCAGCATGCGGCCTGCTTCACCCTGCGTGCGCCCCCAGGGCACCTCTTCTGCCTGCTGGTGCCTGGCACTAAGGAGGTGCCCTGGAGCTGCTCACTGAATGAGAATTAAACACAGAAGCGAAGAGCCAAGCCAGCCAGCCCCTCCTATCAGTAAGGACGGCACCACCTCGGGATAAAGGGTGCCTGTGAGGAGACATCGCCTGCCTCCCGGGTGGCAAGGGCCCAGGTCCAGTGCTCCATATCCACCAAGGAGCTGAGTGGCACTACAAGCAGGGGACACCAAGAGAGACGCCAAGTGCCAAAAACCACCTGGCCCAGCCCTGCCCCTTTCCTGATCAGTAAAATCAACTCCATCAACTTGACGGACCCTCCAAGGACCAACCTACCTCCTACCAACTACCTAATCCTGTCACATATTAATAGTGACACGGTGGCCCTATATGGGACACACCCAGAGTTACCCTTCTGGACCCTTTCATGGATATGGAAAGCCCCCCCCACTTTGTGCTGCTTCTGTAGCCAGGTCTTGGGGCCCTGCGGTCCTCCCCAAGTGGGGACTTTCCACCAACAAGGGTCCTTCGGGTGCAGGTTATCTGTACTGTGACAAAGCTGGCACCAGACATGCTGCTGGAATGTGGATGTCAGGGGAACTGAGGGACTCCTGCAGAGGTGACAGACAGGGGACAAACACCCCAAGACAAAGGAGGGGGCGCCCGGCAGCACTTCCCACAGCTGCTCCCGGCCTGGCCTTGGGAAGGGATGGTGCTCTTGGGGGGGAAGCTGCAGAGCCCCGTCCCACCCTGGGCTGTGGAGCCAGAGCCTCGGCATGGCACGAGGACCAGAGCCTCCCCAGCTCCACACAGCGGCCCCCCATCCCCCCACTGGCTCAGACCACAGTGGGAGACAGGAGTCTTCAGACCCCAGTGAGGTCACACTGTCCCCCGGGGAATGGTGTCTCCCTAGTAAAGAATAAGACACAGCTCACATGGACACCTGAGGCCAAGCACATTCCCGTGACCCGGGTGCAGTCTGACGGGAGGCTTCCATCCCCCGAGAACCTTCCTCTGTAGATGGGCGCCCACTGGAAACAACTTCAAGGCCCAGTGCAAGGTCACAGAAACAGAACTGGGACTGCGGGCCTGCAGGACCCACAGCCAGGAGGGGCGGCCTTCGGGGACGTGCGCAGAGCGGGCGCCAGGACTGAGGAGAGACAGTCTAGGAGCCTTGCTGCCCGGCTCTGGCGAGAAGCCCCTCTGCTGGGGGAGTGGAAGCTGGAGGGCTGGACTGAGGCGGGGAGGAGCTGGTGGGCAAGAGGCTGGGGGGGTGGTCCTCCACAAAGAACTGTCCGGCAACACCCTGGAGAAGATGGGGAGGGGTGTGGGGGGATGCTGGGTGGAGGCCCACCAGACCGGGCGGCACAGCAGGCCCTCAGCAGGCGCTGAGCCCAGGCGAGGTAAGGACACCAGTGCTGGGGCTCTGGGATGAAGGGGATGGTGAAGACAGGAGGCCAGGCCTGCGAGATGTGGTCCCTCCTTCTAGGCTGAGGAAGGTGGCTCAGGCAGCTCCTGAGTGTGCTGTTGGTGACAGGGAGATGAGGTGGCACCAGGCCCGTGGGGGAGTCAGGGGAGAAGAACTTGGCAGAACTAGGAAAAGTGCAGCCTCGATCCTGAGACGACAGGAGGTGGACAGAGAGGGACTTGAAGCTGGGAGGGGCCGGGGGTGTGCGGGCTTGGGTTGGGCTTGGGAGTGCTGGGAAGAAGAGTGCGCTGTTCTGTGGGGTGTGGACCCAGCCCCGGGGGAAAGGGAGGCTCAGTGTGGCCTGGAGCAGAGTTGCTGGGGTGAGCCCTCAGAGATGAAGGGACACACTGGGTAGGGACACACTGCCTCCTGTTTCTCAGCAAACCTTCTGGGAAGTCAAAGGTACATCTGGGGCCCAGGTGCTGTAATGGTCCTGGCCAGCATTCCTGGCAAGCTGGCCACGATTTTACCTGCAACTCAGACACTGCAGTAGAGAGAGCAAGGGGCACGCAGGTTAGATTAATACCCTGATGCCTCTGCACGGGGACACACGGAGGTGGCTGTGGCAGCTTTGCAGACACCTCTCTGGGTGTCCTAGTTTGGGTTTAAATGCTGAAGGGGCCAAAAAGCCACAGAGCCAGCAAGCCACATCACAGACAGCCCCTCTCCAACACTGTCCACGCAGGGCAGTAGGGGGCTCTGCAAAGCTCAGGTGACGTGATGGCAGCGGGAACCCCTAGCTCTGCAGCTCCAGTGACAGGCTCTGGTGCAGACGGGAGGTGGGCCTGCCCTCCTGGCTCTGCTCCCTCCTTGCCGGGTGGTGCTGTGCCTTCCTGGGCAGGTCTGTGGCGCGTTGCTGTGACACTGTCACACTGGTCTTGCACGCACTCCTGAGGGCAGCTTCAGCACCGCCTGCCCTGCCACTCCACACCTGCTTGGGGGCCGACGGGCCAACACGGCCAGCACCAGCGACTCAGCAGCAAAAGGACAAATGGCTTCTCAGCCCAGGGGCCACACGCACGGCCCACCTCTCAGCCTGCCTTGGGGGACTGAGGCCAGGGCTCAGTGCTACTCCAGGCCGGGACTAAGAAGGTGAGTCTGCAAGGGGAGAAGGGGCCGCGAGCAGAGGAGCCCTCAGATGGAGAGAGCAGCTCAACCTGCCCTCCTGCCTAAGCAGCATCGGAGCCCAGGTCTGTGGCAACTAAGGGCCAAAGACACACAGCTCTGGCGATGCCAGGCTGACAGCACCATAGCTCAGGCCGAACAGCCAATGTGCAGCGCGTATCCCACGTGGGCTACGGAGCAGGGTCACTTGGGTGAACTGGGCTGGCACGAACAAATCACAGACTCAGAAAACACCTTTTTTCGGGGCGTTTCAGGACAGCTCCTCCACCCCAACTGTAAGCTCCCACAGGGGCAAGGGAAAACCAAGGGAGCAGGCGAGAGCGCGAGCACGCCCAGAACCCTGGTTTGTATTAAGGAGAACATTCCATCCAAAAAAGGAAAAAGACAGTATTACAGAGGAACGAGAGGCAGCCCACTGCCACCGGAAACCCCACTCCCAGAGCTCCACCCCACTGCCCAGTGAAGGCGTGGTCCACCTGCCTTCACAAAGAGCAAAAGCCAGTTCCACCCTCCATTGCTCAAGGCTAAGGGTACGGGCTCAGCTCCTATGTGGCAGCTCCTGACACCAATGGATACACCTGTTTCTAGAATTAAAATATGGTTTTTGGACTTGAAATATGGAGAGGCCTGGGTAAGAACTAATTCTGCTGGTCTCCAATTCTCCTATTTCTACTATGTTCCCGGCTGAACTCAGGCAGCAGGACAAGGTTCCTAGAAAGGGAAGCCCAGGGGGACAACTTCATGGCCTTAAGCCACCCCAAGTGTTTCTTCTCCTCTCACTTGTCCCAATGAGAGAGAAAATTCCAAGCATTAAGGGTACATGTAGCATGCAAAGGGCTGCCAAGTCTGATCATTAAAATTTCATCTAATACATTTTAATTCACTGGACTTTTTTGACAATAAATTCTGCGACTAAAATTGGTAGGCCCAAAAAAGATGTAAGAGTCACAGGAGGGCTGCACTCTCCTCCTCACCCTCCTTCTGAGAAAAGTAGAGGCCTGATGGGGTCAAGGGCTGCAAAGATGCAGGACTGTGGGCAAGCATGGGCCTCAGAAAGCAGACACAGTGACCCTGAAGCTCTGCCCCGGGGGAGCAGGCTCAGGCCTAGGACCCACCTGGCAAGACCCACTTCCCACATGGGCTGTCTCCACAGCCACAGCCCGGCCTCAGAGGCAGGACAGCAGGTGCAGACACACTGGAGAGTGGCTGGGTGAGGCTTGCACGCCCCATGGAATGAGACCTGCTAAGAAGCTGTGCACCTTTTCTGGGGCATGTGTGTGGGAAACCGGAATACTTCTTCCCGTAAAGAGGTTCAACAGCAAGTACCCACCGGTGTGGCTGATGCTTTACAGACAGCCAATGGCTCTGGAGTATCGAGGCCAGGGCTCTCCTTGCCTCTGGCTTGTGCTATTTCTAGAAGATTTAAGAGATGCCATCCAGGTACAGCACCTCCAAGCAGAAGAGATGATAGCCCTGGTGCCATGTCATCCCTGAGAAGCCATAATGAGCCCACACGCTCACCTGTGGTGGGCATGGCGGCCGGTGGTGAGGCCTCCGTGTCAGGCCACTTCTGCTCTGTCAATCTAAGATGTCCACAGAACTTTCTCAACGGAGCCTTCTCTCCCTTTTGTGCAGTGCTCGGGATGGAACCCAGGGCCTCGTACGTGCAAGGCAAGTGCTCTGCCACTGAACTATACCCCCCTACAGCAGCATTCTTAGCTAAACAGAAATCCTAGAACTTTCCAAGCCAATCTCCTGGCCGAGTGAAAGGTGCTCTGCCAGGGTTAGCTCCTGAACTCCTTCCGTTTCACGCCGCCGGCTGAACCGAGCCAGCGCTCCCCGGAAACACACACTCCAAGTTACACCCTCCCGGCCTGACTTCCTGCAGCTGCTCCACATGCAGCCCCTCTGCCACCGCCGTGCAGCTCACTTCACTCTCAAGGTCTGGCTCCCAAAGCCCCGAAAAACACTCAGCATGATCCAAACACAAGAGTGTAAACTAGGCCACCACAGGGTTCTCCCTGACCCAGCATCCCAACCTTCCCCAGACCTTGCCAGAATAAAGACATTCCAGCTCCCCGGAGTCTGGGGGTCAGTGCATCTTCTCCTTCCCTTCCCAACCTTCCTTGTTTTTTAGGGGGGAGGACAGAGATTGACCCAAGGGAGCTTAACCACGGAGCCACATCCCAGCCCTTTTTATATTTTATTCTGAGTCAGGGTCTGGCCTCGAACTTGCCATCCTCCTGCCTCTTCAGGAGTAGCTGGATTACAGGAGTGCGCCCTGTGCCTGGCCCCCTCTCGACTTTAACAGGCATACCCACCAGCTTGCTAAGATGCCTACCCCTACCATCAACAGGGATGGAGAAATCAACTCCGAAACATTAGGGAAAAATCAACTTCAAAACAAAACTTTAAAAACTTTTTGCCCCGAGACAAATACATCCTCACTTCCACACACAATGGCTAAGGGAAAGGATGTGGGGAATAGGAACTCTGGCCATGTGGTTTTGGAGTTCAATTCTGTAGAGGAAGCCCTTCAGCTTCTAGTTGTCAATCCTGGAGGACCACTGCCAAACATCTGTGGCCAAGATCAAGGCCTCCAGAGGGACTAAATCCTCAGCCCCTGCTCCCAGTGAGCCAGCGAGGCTGCTGCCTCCAGCTGACCTGCACAAGTGGCACCTGGGCCAACAGTCCCAGCTCAGACCTGCTACTTCTGGAAAGGCCCAGCTGCTGGTCCTCCTGCTCCCTTCTCCTGCCTATAAAAAGGCATCTATTTCTTCCTCTGCACAGGGAGATGCCGGAAGGGGTCCATCTGGGCACTGCCTTCATTTATTGTCCCAGCAGAGCAGCCAGCACAAAGAGCTGGCCCACACTGCCTGGCAGCCAAGCAGAGCCCAGCATGGGCTGAATCTCGGCCTTTGAATTATAAAAAGGCAAGAGGCGGGTGGCGCTGGGACAACGCCTCAGCCTGAAGCTCACAGTGAAACACGACCACTGAGCTGGCTGAGCACACTCAGAGCTCACAAGCAAATAGGCTTAATCACTGTCACCCTTCTAGAAAATGATCGCCCTCTCCTAGAAACAAAGCCCCTAAGTCCCTTACCCTGTGACTCAGAAAAGCCCCAAACAGTGCTCAGACCAGATCAAAGTCGCTGTGCCAGCTGTGAACAGCCACTTGGGCATCTGATACAGAGGACATGGAGGATCAGCAGCAGACTCTCAAATGACACTTTCAAAAATAAGCTGCTGTCGATGTTTCTGCCCTGGCCATTGAGTTACAGGAAGCTGCCGCAGTGGGGCTTGACAGCTGCCAACTTCCTCTCCCCCCGACAGACTAGCAATGGCTGGCAGACACTGCGCTTCAAACCAGTAAGAGCGCCTGGACATGCACGATCACGGCCTTCTGCTGAAGGTGGAGGGCACCTCTGGAGCAGCAGGATGCCGAGAGCAGCAGGCCCTCCATGGTGCCACTTTCAGGTAGGCACAGGGGGCAGGGCCGAGGAGAGCGAGGAAGGGGGGTGGCTTACACAGATTCCATTTCCAAGTCGTCTTCCTCCTGAGACAGCTGTAGGTAGGGGTTATCTGAAGCCGGACGGAACTTATACCCCGTCAGAACGAAGAACACCAATGTGGCCATTTCATCCAGGAGCTGCAGATTTAAAAACCACCCCAAAATAAAGGGATCAGCAACACTATCCTTCAACACGACCCACATATCCGCACAGTTCACTCCTTGCTAACTGCTCACTCAAGGCCACCGTTCAAGGCCACGTTCATGGCCCCCGAGCACTCCCTAGATCTGAAGCCTAAGCCAGGAGCAGTCTGCCCCTAGGACCAGGGCCTCATGCCTTGGGCACACTAGACCAGCCCTCTACTCCACTGAGCTCCATTCCCAGGAACTCCTTCACTGGTATTTTTTTTTTTTTGGGGGGGGGGGCTGGGGGGGGCCGGGGAATTGAACCCAGGGGTGCTCTACCACTGAGGTACACCCCGAACCCTTTCTGATTTTGGAAACAGGGTCTAAATTGCTGGGGCTGGCCTGGAACTTGTGATCTTCCTACCTCACTCAGCCTCCCAAGCTGCTGGGATTACAGGCGTGTGACACCACATCTGGCTTCACTGGTACCTTTTTTTTTGTACCATGGATTGAAACCAGGTTGCTTAACCACATCCCCAGATCTTTTTATTTTTTATGTTGAGACAGGCTCTTGCCAAGTTGCTTAGGGCCTCACTAAGTTGTGATCCTCCTGCCACAGCCTCCAGAGCCACGAGGATGACAGATATGCATCCCCATGCCCGGCTCACTAGTACCTCTTAAAAGTTCAATTTATACCCAGATTTTCCAACACTGGTGCCTAATGTACCAAGTGAATTCTTCAAGAAAAAAGGATAGCTGAACCATCTAGTTGTCTGGCAGTTAAACAGTTCTAGGGCTGGGGTCGGTCATAGCTCAGTTGGTAGAGTGCTAGCCTCGAATGCACAAGGCCCTGGGTTCAATCCCCAGCACCACAAAACAACAACAACAAAAACGGTCCTAGGATTTACAAAGATATTGGATGATTCAAATAATAATAATATTAGGGCAAAGAAGGAGGGAGGGCTGGATTCTAAACTGTTCTAGGCCTGATAACTAGGAAAGACCCCATCCCATCCAAGCTTTAATTACAAAGGGCAATACTGACTCTGCCTGAAGCTTTTCTCTAAAGAGTTTTAAAATTGAAAACTAAAATCAATAATGCAATTATGCCAGATTTCTCATGTAATCTAGCAGCTCTCCAGAGCAAATAGATAATAATTTTTTAAAAAAGAGTAGGATTATTCAAGTGTGAAGAATAGAAACAGAACTCTTACAGGGGGGAAGGGGGGACCCTGATAAAGGTAACTCCAAATAGATAATCATCATCTTCTTTTTTTTGGTTCTAGGGATTGAACCCAAGGGCGCTTAACCACTGAGCCACATCCTCAGGCCCTTTAAAAAAAAAAAAAAAAAAAAAATATATATATATATATATATATATTTGTAGATAAACAAATACCTTTATTTTGTTTATTTATTTTTATGCGGTCCTGAGGATTGAATCCAGTGCCTCATGTGTAAGGCAAACACTCAACCACTGAGCCACAACCCAAGTCCCCCAGTCCATTGTTTTCTTTTGAGATAGAGTCTCACTAAGTTGCTGAGGCAGACTGTGAACTTGCAATTCTCCTGCCTCAGCCTCCCAAACTGCTAGGGTCACAGGTCCCAAATAGGTAATCTTAACTGTCGCTGGAAGAGATGGCAGGTCTTAGGGGCCATTCCCATGTGAATAAGAAACAACCTTAAGTTACATCCCTGGACTTTATCCTCAGACATGAACTCTGCACCGTCCCGAGAGCAGTATACCTGGTAGAGCCACTTCCACTGGAATGGAACAGCAAGTTTAAGGAGAAATGCAATGATCCTGGTGAAGTATATGTAACACACAATCTGTATGAAGAGGAAGGAAACAAAACACAAAATCAACAGAGAAGTTGATAACCACTTTCTTCTAATAAACTGCTTTCACAAACTCAACAGAACTACCCAAAGACTTGCGTGACTTGGAGTGTTAACTCATAAGTGCAGCAGAGAGAAATGGCCACTCTGCTGGTTACACTGGGAAGGAACTCCTCACTGTCTCTAGGTGGCCAAGACGATGACCACAGCCACCAAGGGAGGACAGCACACTTGGGTACATCTGCTCTTAGACCCTCCTCACCTCTCCAAACCTCATTTCAATCTCCCAGGGGCAGCCTTTTTATTCCCAGGCTTGGAAAGATAATCATCAGTAGTAGCAGCCAACTACAGCCCACAGGGAGAGGCTGACTCCTGGCCTCTCTGCCTGCACTGCTGTAAAGGTCCAGGGCCACAGTCAGGACGTACCCACATCCTGTCCTCATGGGGAGGCCTCCACTTCACTGCAGTAACGAGGGCTCAGTTGCTGCCCAGGCTGCTCATGGGACCAGGTTCATGGTGGCCAGGCTTGCAGACAGGCCAGGCATGCTAGGGTTTCGGGCACACAGGCCCAGTACCCTTGCCTGGCCATTGAGAATCACTGCTCATGGCCACCTCCTGTGTCAGGAGAGGCTCTATGATGACTCCTGTGCCTCTTCTAGTGGAGGACAAGGCCCTTGCAAAAAGTCACTTGCCCCTGCTTCTCTAATGAAATCGCTAATGTTCGCCCATATACAAGAATCTTCCAGTGACAGTGGAGGCCAAAACCATGACAAAAGACTTGGCAACTTTCTTTTAGGAGCCACGGAGCGAACTCCAGCAGACCTGCACCTTATGGACACCAAGAAACCACGACCCTAAGAACTCACAGTGGTTCTGACTTGGTGGCTGTGCTTAGCTTACAGGGATCTCTCTGCACACCCGTCACTGTCCCCATTCTTAAGTTTTACAAAAACCGCCTCCATCTCTGTTCTTAAGGGAAATATCACCATTAGCATAACATGAAACTAGTTTCCTGCAGAAAACTTTGGGAGAGAGAGGGAGGTTCTCTAAATCTTACGGGAAAACATAAAGCCTGCAGAAGGGCACAGGGTGCAGCCCTCGTTTTCTTAATGAACAGCAACACCCCAGGGAGCGGCTTGGGGGGCACACACCAGGATTGCTGTGGAGAGCCACCACCTCACCGTGGCAGCAGCCCTGGACAGGGTCAGCAGGCTCCACAGGGCTGTGCTGAGTTTCTAGAATCCTGGCATTTATATTTTATATCAATGTATTATTTAACTACTGAAAGTTAAATGTAAGAAGTAGTAACCCGGATATTTACTTTCCGTTTCGGGAGGTACAGTCTGTTGTGAGGCAATCCGAGCAGATCCAGGGCTGCCCCTCCTGGGCGTCCATCCCGCTTCCCGCATTGGCTCTGCCCCCTGAACTCATCTAACTGAGAGACTCAGGGTCTTTTTTTTTTTTTACTCACCAAGACGTAGTAATGTCTGAAAAGCTTCAGCTTTGCTAAGTTAATGGCAGCTAGGGACAAGAACAACATGAAGAGCTCATTAGCTTCGCTTCTTCCCCGTCTGCGCGCTTGATCGTTCATTCATTCTGAGGCAAGACCCTACCAGCTGAGCCAGCCCCTGAGCAGCTGGGACTCTAGGGGCACACCATTCTTGGGACCCCTGTCCCGTTCATGCGCCCCCTCAGTCAAGAGGGGTTGAGACACACCTCACTTCTGGCAAGGATGCAGATGGGAGGCTCCGTCCACCCCAGGGCCTGGTGAAGCTGCTCTCACAGGCCACCCAGCTGCAGCTGCTCTGAGGGGCAGCTGCGTACTGCACAGGGGCACCAAGGAAATCACAGACGCCCACCTGAGGGCCAGCGCGAACCCCCTCAGCTCTGCCACTGTACCCAGGGAGATGCTCTCTCCACTAGGACCCACTGGGTTGACCCCGGAGTGACTGCTGGGGAGCCTTCCACCAGCCAAGGGTGCAAATTCCATTAACCCTCAGATGCACTTGGCAAATTTTGCTTCAGTTTCCGTTAAGCGCCCTGTAATAATAAGCCCTTTAAGTACAACCTCCTTGGCTATCTCCTGCCTTCTAGAGCATTCAAGGTCAGCGAGCCAGGACTTCCTGACACTGCTGGTGGCTATGAAATATTGATGACCACAGAGGGTAGCCTGGCTCCCTCCCCGATTAGCAATCCTTTCATTCATCATAAACCTCCCGCAGGAGGCAAATTAATTCTGCTTAATAACATTCAATTACTGATTCAGTTTAAGAATGAGACTGTGGGTGGCAAAGGTTCAAATTTCCTCTTCCTCTCTCCTCTGGCTCATGATTAGTGGGGGACAATCAAGTTTAGGATTCCAAAAGAAATTCTGGGAATGCCAAGTTATCGTCAAGGTGATTATCCACAGGAGCCTCCTCCCGGAAACCAAAAAGGGCTGGCAGGGCAAGTCTTCCCAGGGGACTCCTCCCACAGCTGAGAGGATAGGACCCTCACATACAGAGCTGCAGTGGCCTCTGCACACAGGTGGCCTCTGAGGAAGGGGATCACAGCCGGCAGATCACCAAACACTTGCTTATCCTGCCACCTCTCTGGTGTTTTGCTACTTTATGTATTTTTTGTGGTGATGGGATGGAACCCAGGGCCCTGTGCACAGGAGGCAGGAGTTCTACCACAGAGCCACATGCCCAGCCCCACTGTCATGTTATTTTTTAAAAATGAAATCTCTCTGCCTCTCATCCTTTTCTTTTCTAAATTTATTTGTTCTCTTAGTTATACATGATAGTAGAATGTATCCTGACATGTCACATATACATGGGGTCTGACTTCTTGTAGTTGTCAGCCTTTTCTTTTGAGCCCTGATTGAGCTAGACCCTGGGACACTAGGCGTGCCCCTGGGAGAGGGACACTAAAGCCTGAGCTGGACACAGGGTTGGGAACAGGCCAGGGTTGTAAAAGGCTTCCCAGAGGACAGGATGCCACAGACTTCACCATCTCTAGGAGCTCACGGCTCCACTGTGCCCACACCACTCTGCCCAGCGAGCCCCCGCCGGAGGGAGGGAGCCGAGCCCCTGCACAGGCTGGTACTTCTTGAACACGAACACTGAGTCCTCTCCCTAGGGCTGACTGAAAACCCCAGCATCAACCATTAGATCGTTTAAGTCACACACGCGCTTTCCATCTCTTCTGAGTGCTGCCGCTGAGTGAGTCCTGGCAGGACACTGCTGCTGGCTTCCCCGAGAACCATCAGTCAGAGGCGTCCCAGCGTCAAGTGGGGGCAGGGATGAGCAGGATGGAGGGAGGACTCCCAGCCTGCAGGGAGCTCGGGAAGGGAGGGCAGCTCAGCATGGCTGGACCTTGGGGAGGCCAGGAAACTCAGGGCAAGGAGCAAAGCCCAACACCAAGCTGGGCCGTCCTCCCTGTGGGTCCAGAGGGCCCAGAGTTTTTAGCCATGCGGCGCCACATTACATCACAGTTCAGAACTGTCATGAGAAAGGACGGAGGAAGCCAGGAGGAAGAGACTGACCCCGTGAGACCTGGAGTCTGTGGCAGCGCCTGTGACAGGCGGGGGTCTCTTTGGGTGTGGAGCAGTCAAGGTGCAGGCAGCGCAGCAGACAACCCTTCAGCCCTCCAGGAAGAAGAATGCCAGAGGCGGGGCCACAGGGAAGGAAGCAGGGGCTGATGGGGGAGCAGGCCCTGCAGGTCTCCATGGGTGGGAGGTGGGGGCTGGGGGGACGAGAGCAGAGGGCGCCACGCTGGCTGGCCTCTCCTGGGCATCGTGGGCATCGTGTGCCACCACATCACACTCTCCAAGCTGAGCAGACCCTGAAGGTAGGCAGGTCCAATCAGCTGCAGGAGTGAGCCGGCACCCTCAAGTCCACGTGCCAGAGAAGAGCGTCACCACAGCAGACACCACGCCACGCAGGATGCACGAGGGCTGACAGCAGGGCCCTGGAGCCAAGGAGTATCACCTCTAAGACACGCAGCCACATACACAGTCCCAAGGTTTCCCAAAACCCACGAGTGGTGTTGATGTCATTTCCAGTCACCTGCAAGACGTTTGTTAGGACTGCTGCTGGCAGGGACCAGGCTTCCAAGGCCCCCACTGGTGTCCTAGTCAAGGTCCAAGCAGTGAAGCTTTTCCCCCTGTGCTGGGGACGGAGCCCGGGGCCTGGGGCATGCTCAGCAGGCACTCTACCGCTGAGCTCCATCCTTGCCTCTGTGAGGTGCTAAGAAACAGGACAGAAGAGTGGTCCGAAGCACAAGCTCTGTGAATCTAAGCACCTGGAGTTCAGACTCCAGCTCTATTGCTTGCTGGCTGTTATGATCTCAGGTAAGTCACCTAACCTCTCTGAGCCTCTGTTGCTTCATCTCTTAGGCCAGAATACCAACACCTACCCCTAAATGTTTTGGACAAATACCAAGACAGTACGTGAAAAGCCAATGGCTCACAGTAAGCTACCCGACCCGATGTTACAGTATTAGAACCTGTTAGGATTATATGGATGAACCCAGCACCAACAGTGGCAAATACTGTGTCCCTGGGCTGCCACCTGGTGAGTCAGGAGGCTGAGCAGGGCGGTCAGCTCAGGGCGAAGCCTCACCAGCACTGTGCAAAGAGCAACCAAGCAGCAGGCCTCAGGCTGGAACCCCAACCCTCCCTTTGCTTTTCTCCCAAAGACCTTCCCGGAGCCAAGGAGGTTGACAGCTGGCTGCTGTGCAGGCCTCAGGGGAGCTGGGCTCCCTTGGGTGAAGGCTCCCGAGGCTGGCTGGCTATTTCTGACCCTGCCACTGAGGAGCAGCAAATATGGTCAAAGAATGAGCACGGGGAGAGGAAACGCGTCCCAGATGGAGCCAGGAGACCTACACCCTGGCACCGGGTGTAACTCCGCATGCCTGCCCCCGGGCCGCACCGCCTTCTCCAGGCCCTTGTTTGGAGGAGGATGTACTCAGCGGGTCAGCACTTCTTCATGGCAATGGCTCACCATGAGCAGTCCCCTGGGGGGGCTTGGGTTTTTTTTTTTAATATTTATTTTTAAATTTTCGGTGGACACAACATCTTTATTTTATTTGTATGTGGTGCTGAGGATCGAACCCAGCGCCCGCGCATGCCAGGCAAGTGCGCTACCGCTTGAGCCACATCCCCAGCCCTCTTTTTTATTTTTTTAATGTATATTCATTTACAACAATTTTTGTGTCAATTTTATTGAGGTATAATTAACATACAGTAAGATTTACCAGTTTCGTACGTGTGCATGTGGTGCTGGGGATTGAACCTAGGACCTTGTGCATGTGAGGCAACAGCTCTACCAACCGAGCTGTGTCTCCAGCTCCGGGGGCTGGTTTTTGATACAGCTGCTCTGCCTGCCCCCATTCTTAGGGGGGGGGGGGGGGGGGGGGCTGCGCAGACCTGGAAACCCCTGCAGGCAGAGCAGGGAGCAGCTCCGGGAGCCTCTCCAGGGCCTGAGGCCTGCAGACCCCACTTCCTCTAGCTCTCAGGAAAATGGCCATGATTCCCAAGCTTCCTGCCGACGGGAGCAGAACAAGTGCCTGCTGCAGCAGGCAGGGCCACCGCCCTGGCTCAACCCTCCCCAACCCAGCAGCAAAGGAGCCCACACAGCACCCGCGGGAGGTGCTGCCCCCACCTAGACTGTCGCCTTTCCTCTTTCGTCACAGGGTAACTAGGCAGATTGCCCCTCCCCACAGCTGGCTTCCCTGGGAGGCCCTGGAACTGTGATGATGGCAGAAACAGCAGCACTGGTGGTGGCCATTTACTAGCAATCACCACAAGCCACGTGCCCAGTGGGTATCTGAGCTTCATCTCACAATAGCCTCTATGAGAGGGCAGCCAGCCTGGCAAAGGTTAGTACGTTATTGAAGTCACACGGTACACCTGGAGAAGCCAGTATCCAAACCTGAGTGCACCCCCTCCAAGGACCAAGCTCTTAACACTGCACTTCACAGTCAGAGACCATGCTGGCTTCGGGGGTCTGCAGCCAGTCGAGATGCCTGCCACGCCCAGGAGCTGCCAGCAGTCTGCTCTGAGGCCTTAACACCCAGCGATTTATGGACCACACAAAAGGCAAGGCCCACAACAGCCTCTGAATGGGTGGAAAACTTGCCAGACAATCCTTGCCTGGATGTAAAGAAAGCCCCAAGGCTTAACCGCTCCCCCCAGGCCCAGGGGCACACATCGGAGATTCCAGCAACTCAGGAAGCTGAGAAGGGGGGCTGCAAACTCTGGGCAGCCTCAGCAACGCAGAGGCCCTGTCCCAAAATAAAAACACAAAGGGCGGGGGCGGCTCAGTGGTAGAGCACCCCTAGGTTCAATCCCCAGGAAGAAAGAAAGAAATCCCACCTATCCCTCCTCCCTTTCCCCCACTTCTTTCCTGCTGTGCTTCAGAGGGAACTGTGAGTCAAACCAAAAATCATAAAAACATGGATAATGGCAAAGTCAGGATGGCACTGGAGCCACTGGGACTCTTTGGTCGCAGCAGCTCAGATCTGCCTAAGCTCGGGCT